AGAGACTAGTTTGAGATCCAAAAACACAAACTAGTTGAAAGTGAAAGGATGGAAAAAGATATTCCATGCAAATAGTAACCAAAAAAGAGTCGAGTATCAGACAAAATAGACTTTAAATCAAAAATGACATTATATAGTAATAGAAATTTTGTACAACAAGAAGATAGAACAATTATAAAAGTTTATGCACTTAATGACCGACTAACAAAATATGTTAAGCAAAAACTCACAGTATTGAGGGAAGATAATTCTACGATAATAGTTGAAGACTTCAGTATCCTACTCACAATAATGAACAGAACAACCAGGCAAAGATAAGTAAGGAAATAGAAGACTTAAACAACACAATAAATCAACTAGATCTAACAGACTTATATAGAACACTCTACCCCAGAGCAATGGCATACACATTCTTCTTAAGGGAATATGGGGCGTTTTCCGGGATAGACCATATGTTAGGCCACAAATCAAATCTCAGTAGATTAAAATAGATATCATAAAAGGTATCTTCTTTGACTACAATGGGATGAAGTTAGAAATCAATAACAAAAGTAAAACTGGAAAACTAATAAAATTGTGGAAATTAAACAATACACTTTTAAACAACCAATGGATTAAAGATGAAATCACAAGAGAAATTGATAAATACTGGAGATGAAGGAAAATGAAAACAGAACATACCAAAAGTTATGAGATGCAGTGAAAGCAATGCTAAGATTGAAATTTATAGCTAGAAATGCTTACATTAAAAAATAAAGATCTCAAATGAACAACCTAACATTACAACTTGAAGAACTAGAAAAAGAACTAACTAAACCCAAAGATAGTAAAGGAAGGAAATAATAAAGATTAGAGCAGAGATAAATGAAATAAAGAATAGAAAAACAATAGAGAAAAATCTTGAAACCAGAAATTTGTTCTTTGAAAAGATGAACAAAATTGACAAATCTTTAGCTAGCTATGTTTTAAAAAAAACATTGTTTAAGAAAAAATAAAGACGACTCAAATTACTAAAATCAGAAATGAAAGTGGAGACCTTACTACTGATTCTATTGAAGTAAAAAGGATTGTAAGCAAGTGCTAGGAACAATTGTATGACAAAAAATTGATGACCTAGATGAAATAGACAAATTCCTAGAACATAAAACCCATCAAGACTAAATCACAAATAAATAGAAAATTTGAATAGACCTATAACTAGTAATGTGATTGAATCAGTAATCAAAAATTTTCCAACGAAGAAAAGTCCTGGATCTGACAGCATCACTGGTGAATTCTACCAAGCATTTAAGGAAGAACTAATACCAATCCTTCTCAAACCTTCTGGAAGATTGAAGAGGAGAGAACACTTCCTAACTCATTCTATGAAGCAAGCATAACCCTGATACCAAAGCCAGACAAAGACACTACGAGAAAAGAAAACTGCAGACCAATATCCCTTATGAATATTGATATGCAAAAATCCTCAACAAAATACTAGCAAACAGAATTCAACAGTATATTAAAAGGATTATACACCATGACCAAGTGGAATTTATTCCTGGAATGCAAGAGCAATTCAGCATACAAAAATTGATGATTGTAATATGCCACATCAACAAAATGAAGGAAAAAAACCACATGATCATCTCAATTGATGCAGAGAAAGCATTTGGCAAAATTCAACACCCTTTCATCATAAAAACACTCAACAAAATCAGAATAGAAGGAAACTACATCTATGTGATAAAAACCATAGATGAAAAACCCACAGCAAACATCATACTCAGTGGTGAAAGACTGAAATCTTTTCCTGTAAGATCAGGAATAAGGCAGAGTTGCCCACTTTTACTTCTATCCAGCATAGTACTGGAAGTTTCTAGCCAAAGCAAGATAAAGAAATAAAAGGTATCCAGATTGGAAAGAAAGAAGTAAAATTATCTCTGTTTGTAGATAATATGATCTTATATGTAGAAAACTGTAAAGATTCCACAAAAAAGCTGTTTAAACTAATAAATGAATTCAGGAAAGTAGCAGAATACTAAGTCAACACACAAAAATCAGTTGCATTTCTATACACAAACAATGAACAATCTGAAAAGGAAATTACAAAAACAATTCCATTTACAGTAGCATCAACAAGAATAAAAGACTTAGGAATTAACTTAACCAATTAACTTATACAATGGAAACTATAAAATATTGCTGAAACAAATTAAAGACATAAATAAATGGAAAGATAGCGTGTGTTCATGGATTGGAAAACTTAATATTGTTAAAATGTCAATACTGTCCAAAGCAATCTGCAGATTCAATGTCCTATTAAAATCTCAATGACATTTTTTTGCAGAAATAGAAAAACCCATCCTGAAATTCATTTGCAATCTTAAGGTACCCAAGTAGCCAAAACAATCTTGAAAAAGAATAATGAAACTAAAGGACTTACACTTCCTGATTTCAAAACTTACTACAAAGCTACAGTAATCAAAATGGTGTGGTATTGGCATAAAAGATATATAGACCAATGGAACAGAATAGAGACCCCAGAAATAAACCTTCACATATATGGTCAAATGATTTTTTGACAAGGCTGGAAAATGCGTCAAGGACAGTCTTTTCAACAAATGATGCTGGGAAAACTGCATATCCACATGCAAAAGAATGAAGTTGGACCCCTACATAACACCATATACAAAAATTAATTCAAATGGCTCAAGGACTAAGTGTAAGATCTAAAACGATAAGACTCTTAGAAAAAAACATAGGGCAAAAGCTTCACAACATTGTTTTGGTAATAATTTTTTGGGTATGACACCAAAGGCACAGGTAACAAAGAAAAAATAGACAAATTAGACTTCATGAAAATTAAAAATTTTTTTGCATCACAAGACACCAACCACAGAGTAAAAAGACAACCCACAGAGTGTGGGAAAATGTTTGCAAATCATATATCTGATAAGGGATTAATATCTAGAATTAGATATTAGAGAACTTCTAAACTGAACAACGCCAAAAAAAACCTGATTCTAAAATGGGCAAAGGACTTAAATACACATTCCTCCAAAGAAGATATACGAATGGCCAATCAACACATAGAAAGATGCTCAACATCACTAATCATTAGATAATGCAAATCAAACCTACAATGAGATACCACCTCACACCCATTAGGATGGCTACTACCAAAATAACAGAAAATAACAAGTGTTGGTGAAGATGTGAAGAAATTGGAACTCTGGTGCATTGTGGGTAGGAATGTAGAATAATACAACCACTGTGGAAAGTGGTGTGGCTGTTCTCAAAAACTTAAAAATGGAATTACTGAATGATTCAGCAACTCCATTTCTGAGTATAATCCCAAAAGAATTGAAAGCAGGATCTCGAAAATATATTTATACATCCATGTTTATAACAGCATTATTCACAATAGCTAAAACGTGGAAGCAACGCAAGTGTCCATTGACCAATAAGTGGATAAGCAAAATGTGGTAGATAACATACAATGAAATATCATCAGCCTAAAAAAGGAAGGACATTCTGCAATATGCTATAACATGGATGAACCTGAGGGCAATATGCTAAGTAAAATAAGCCAGTCACAAAAAGACAAATACTGTATGATTCCACTTACATAAGGTACTTAGAGTAGTAAAATCATAAAGACAGAAATTGTAATGCTGGTTGCCCGGAGTTAGGAGGAAGGGAGAGCGGGGAGGTATTGTTGAATAGGTACAAAGTTTTGGTTTTACATGATGAAAAGAGGTATGGGGATGGATGGTGCCTATGTCTGCACAATAATGTGACTGTGTTTAATACTACTGAACTGTACACTTAAAAATGATTAAGATGATGGGGCCGGCCTGGTGAAATAGTGGTTAAGTTTACTTTAATTTCTAATTATTTTTCTTTTCATTTTCCCTGCATTTGAAAATGTTTTAATGTTGTTTGTTAAGAATGATGTGGCATGGACGTTGACTAGTTATATCGGCATGTGATGTTCTGTGTTTGCCTTTTGTGTGTCACATCTGTTTTAAGGAGGATAGCACATTAAGGCTTTTTGATAGCACATTTTAGTCAATACAGTGTAATTTTTTTCTTAATAGTTTTAATCAAAAGTAAACTAGTTGGGAAATAAAATATAATCATTTTTTTTCCAATCACTTCTTATAGAAAAAGTAAGTTAAGAAATGTGAATAATTTGAACAGGCTCATAATAATATTCACTAAATCACCTTATGTAGGATTTAGAAATAATTTTTATTATAAAAATAATATACTTTAATTATAGTTCAGAAGTAAAAGTCATGCTTCTTCTCCACCATCAAATACCCCAGTTATACCCTTAGGGCAGCTCCTATTAACAGTTTCTTAAATAGCCTTCCATAAATGTTCTATCATAGGTAAGTATATGTGTGTGAGTGTATGATGGAATTATACACACATGTACACAAGACCTATATATCCTATTTTTTTAAAGACTAATACTTTTATAAGATATTTTGAATGACTTAAATATATTTTTCAGCACATACATTGAAGAAAAGTAGATAAATTGATGTACACATTAAAACTAACTCTTTATGTTTATTTGAAGTCTTCTAATTATTTTAGTGGTATGGATTAAGAATAAAATTTCTTTAGTACAGTTTAATAACAGATTAAATAATTAAACCTTATTTTTATGAAAACATAGAAAATTTTCATTTGTGTGGAAGATTTTTGCCCTTAATACATGTTCTTTATATTCATCATATTGAAAATAGTGGGTTATCTTTTAGAGTGGGATTATTGTGAATGTTGTGTAGGGGGAGGGACAAGGAGGGAGAGTGGGCATTCTCTTTTTGGGTTCTATAATACTATGTTTGAGGTTTTTTTTTTTTTTTTGAGGCAATGAGCATATTCTACTTTTATTAAAATGATGATAGAAAATATTTTTAAAACATGTAATGACATAAAGTTAAATTTTAAAAAATGTCCTCTTAACTAAGCTTGTTTTGTGCTTTTGTTAATTTTGGTTTTAGGCTTGTGTGGACGTCAGAGCCAGTTCAGTGTTCTGGCAGCAGATGGAATTCGCAGATAGCCTCCACGGTCACCCCAGGTTGCCGCAGTGGTTATCCACACACCCTTCTCATGGCAATCGAGCTGAGCACTTGGATAGACTCATACCTCAGGTGAGCTAACGCTGTAGAAGGCAAAACGTAATTTTTACTCTATCATTTGTTTTAATGCTGTTACTTCTTGTGCTTAGAAAAAGAGAGTTTTAGCCTTTGATTACTATAATTATGGATTATCAGTTTTCAAAGGATTTGAATGAAAAGTAAAATCCTACTTGTACATAAGTCTTGGGGAATAAATTGCTGTGTGTAGTTGACTTTCTTTATGGTGCAAGTTTAACTTTTTCAGTATCATATCTTTTAATTTAAACTGATTTGGTGAAAGTCTAAAACTCAAGGCATATTTTTTCAACATATTGATCATAATTTAGTCTTTTCTTGGTGATTTAAGCTGATTTGTAAAAATACCAGTTAATGAGTTGTGCAACAATTGGGGGTCAAATGGGTATTAATTCCAATAGTGATGCTGGAATTTGTTTTCTTAGAAAAAAATCCCTTCATATTAGTTTGCTTTCTGGTTTTTATTTCTTTATAAAGGTAGAGTAAAGCATGTGTTGTATGGTTCTTTTTTTTGTAGAATTCATTAATGGATCAAGCTTAAACAGCTTTCTCCCAAGTAGTTTTCATTATCTTCTGAAAATCTTTTGATTTGTTAACATCATTCAAAATGTTTTCTGTAGTTTCCACATCAGTACAAAATGGATGTCAGACGTCTCCATGCCAGGCTCCATGCTTTCTTCTGTCTCACTGGCATTAGATTTTCTGGTTGGTTATAAAAGCAGAATATTCTTTAGCAGTTTAAGAATTGGTATTGGGCTATTTGTTAAAGAAGAACACAACAGATACAGGTGTATTATAAAAGTATCTTTCAGTATGACTTCAAATTCAGCTTAACAAATATTGATTACGTATTATAAGAAAGACAAGTTGCTAGATACAGGAATGCAAAGAGAAATAAGAGATGGTTCTTGATATTTGCAGGCTGTTAAGATAAGTACAAAATGATTCTTAATAGGGCAATGAATATGGTTTATCATAAGAAAAGTAGAAATATAGTGATATGCAATTTGAAGGAAGAACAGCCTGCATCTAGTTTGGGGTAAGAAACTACCACAAGATTCATTCATTCATTCATATGATCAATATTTATTGATATTCATTGATAATCTGCCATTCTGTGTTCCATTGCTGGGAGAGGCAAGGAACAAAACAGCCTCTGCTCTCTTGGAACTAACATTCTAGTTAGGTAACGTAAATAATAAACAAGCATACATACAGTATGTCAAACAGTGATGAGCACGTTGGGGAAAAATAAAGCAGGTTAAGGGTAGTAGAAAGGGCTGGGCAGCAGAGAAAGTGTACTAGTCTGTTCATTTGTCAAGGAAGGCCTCACTGAACAGAATCTGGAAAGAAGCAGGGAGCAAGTCCTGTGCTGTCTGGAGGGAGAGTATTTTAGGCTGAGGAAGCAACAAGTGCACAGGACCTGAAGTGAGAGCGTGTTTGATGTGTTCAAGGAATAGCAAGGAAGACATTGGGGCTGAACAGAGTAAGGGAAGGGGAGAATGGTTGAGGTGTAGGGGGACCAGACCGTGAAGGGTCTTCTTAATCATTGTAAGGACTTAACTTTTGTTTCAAGTGATGTAGGAAGCTAGTAGAAGGTTTTGAACAGAAGAGTGGCTTGATCTGACTCATGTGTTTTATAGTGATCACTGGTTCTTCTGCGTGGAGAGTGGACTAGTGGAGCACAGGTGGAATCAGGGAGACTATTTAGGAGGCTCTTGCAATAATCCTGGTAAGAGATTATGGAGGCAGAAGAGAAGGAGAGAAGTGGTCCAATTGTGGATATATTTTGAAAGGAATGATAACAGGATTTGTTGATAAGTTGGGCATACTTTGTGCCTTTTGTGAGCATTGGGGACAGCCAGACATGGGTTCTGAAGACCTATCCTAAATATATTTCATTTATTCTCTTAATTTGAAGAAAAATATTTGAGAAAGAAACGGTAGTGAAATTTACTTGATATAATATTTAGTAGTCATTCATCTGAAAAGGGCAACAGAGGACTGGGACAATACGTGTTTCATTAATAACTGATTTGTACTGGAGATCACTGACTTGCTGCCCAAGACCCAAGAACCTCATACCACTGTGGGAGGCTTAGCCTATCTCTAAAGCCATAATAACCACATGATTATCTCTTAGAATTTCCTTTCTTTTTATTTTTGCCCAGTGAAATTCTAAAAATCTTTGGTTTTCTTAAACTGGAAAATCAATTATAGCCAACTTTCATCTGAAGCCTGTCCTAAATTCTGAGTTGTCATTTTATCATTGGATAACTAAGGGTATTTAGAGAAGTAAAATGTGTGCTTTAGGAAAGTCTTTAAAATAATAATGAGGGGCTGGCCCCATGGCATAGTGGTTAAGTTCAGCATGCTCCTCTTCGGCACCTGGGTTCTCGGGTTTGGATCCCAGATGTGGACCTGTACCACTCGTCAGCCATGCTGTGGCAGCAACTCACATACAAAATAGGGGAAGATTGGCACAGATGTTAGCTCAGGGCTAACCTTCCTTAAGCAAAAAAAAAAAAAACAGGAAGATTGGCAACAGATGTTAGCTCAAGACAAATCTTCCTCAGGAAAAAAAAAGTAATAATAATAATGAATTGATTAATGAGTGAAGAAAAATGGTTGGAGAAACAAATATATATTTGGGAGCCAATGATGAAGAAAAAAATTGAAAGATATTTTTTCTTCTAAAAATAAACTATCCTAGTTCAGAAACTTAATTTGAAAACCTCATATAATTTCTTATATTTTCTCCCCAAGCGATTAAATTCAATTTGAAAGTAATAAAACTCTACTACAATATTGGGAGTAATTTAGTGGTTGAAGTGAAACTGATAGTCAGTGCAAGAGTATATTGTTAATTCGAATACATAGTCATAATTTAGAGATTGGAATTCTCTGCTATCACAGGTCTAATTTCTATAATGAAGGAAAGTAATTCCTCAGACAGTGTATAGAATTACATGAGTCTATATATTACTAAAGACTACATTTTTTTTGGTTAGATTTTAAGATTTTTTTCTGTTTAAGTGAGTATGATGTTATATTCTACCTAAAACTCCTCTCCTTTGATGTTCGTGACAGCATGCCTGAAGTAATGAACATCTCAAAGGTAGTTGGGAAGACAGCACCACAGCACAGAGAAGTCTAGGCCAGAGAGAGGATTTCAGAGTCACCCAAAAAAGGTGATAGTTGGAGCCATGAGAGGGGTTGAGTTCACTTAGGAAGGAAGCAGAAAAAAAGATCCTGGACAGTTAATAGTATTAGGTGGTTTCCGTATTTATGGTAAAAGGAAGACAGAACCTGTAGTAGATCAGATTCGTAGGAGGAGAAAAGATCAAGAAAATCAGGAAAGTAAGATTCTTTGGTTCTATCAGAACACAAATCTTGGTAATTTTGATTTTTTTTTTTTTCTGAGGAAGATTTACCCTGAGCTAACATCCGTTGCCAGTCCTCCTCTTTTTTTCCTTTTTTTTATCTGAGCTGCTGCCACCACATGGCCACTAACAGACGAGTGGTGTAGGTCCCTGCCCGGCAGCCTAACCCAGGCTTCCGAAGTGGAGTGCGCCAAACTTAACCAATAGGCCACCAGGGCTGGCCCTGATTTTTTCTAATTTAACTTATTGAAGATTGTATATTTTTATTTCTTACCGAATTTCTTGTATATCGTCAGAGAACTATATTATTTCTTACCATAGCATATCAACATTTAAGATGTTTTAAATTTATACTTTATGCATTCAAGAAATATTTATTGATCACCTCTTACGTGCATATTGTAGGTGTTGTAGGTGCTGTGAACAAAATAGACAAAAAACCCTGCCCTCATGAAGCTTATTCTGCAAAAAAGGGAGACAGACAATAAATAGAGTAAATTAGTAATGTATAGAATTAATCACTGATATATTGTATATTAGTAATAAGTGTTAGGGAGGGAAATAAAGGAGGGGGAACAGTGTTCTCATCAGCTTGGGCCCCCATAACAAAATAGTATAGACTGGGCAGCTTAAGCAACAGAAATTTATTTCTTCACAGTTCTGAAGTCCAATATTCCATAGCTAGAAGTCCAATATTAAGGTTCCAGCCAATTCGGTTTCTGGTGAGGTCTCTCTTCCTGACTTGCAGATGGCAGCCTTCTCGCTGGGCCTCACATGCTGGAGAGAGTGAGTGTGCTGGTGTCTCTTTCTCTTCTTATAAAGGGCGTTAATTCCATCATGAGGGTCCTACCTTCATGACCTCATCTAAACCTAATTACCTCCTGAAGGCCTCGTCTCTAAATACTATCACATTGGGGGTGAGGGTGTCAACATATTAATTTGAGGGGTACATAGTTTAGTCCATAGCAGGTAGGTGATGTGTGAGCAGAGGTGGCAAAGGTGCTGGAATAGCTATTTGCTGTGGGCTTGGTCAGAGAAGGTTTTACTGAGAGAATGATATTTGAACAAAAACTTGAAATAAATGAAAGAATGAGCCCTGGGGGGGAAGAGCCTTCTAGGCAGAGGGAATAGAAGTATGAGGCCCTGAGGCAGGAGTGAGCCTGCTGTATTTGAGGAACGGCAAGGAAGCCAGTGTGGCTGGAATGGGACAAGGGAAGGTGGCGGGTGTGGGCCTTGTAGCCCCTGTAAAGACTTTGGGAGGCCAGTGGAGGGTTTGACCAGAGTACTAGAGGAGTAACAGGATCTGACTTATATATGAAAAGGATGTGATCTACAGCTCAAAAGCGGTACAATCATATAATTTTGGAATATTTGAGTGAAGCATATTGTTCAGAAAATAGATTAGTTCTTTTTTGTTTTGTTTTTAAGTCAAGGAAATGCCCCCAAATTTGAAAAATATATACCCTGGCTGTTTCTTTTAATGTGAATTCTGAGATAAAGCATGTGTAAATGCCTAATTAAATATAATCCTATGATCCACTAGCATTTAAAAAGGATAAATATAGGGTTGTAGTAATAATATTATTTGTAGTTAATAAAATGATATGTTATAAT